TACTACTCATGAATATTCATGAATGCTTACCACTTACCCTTCCTCTTTCCTTGCTTTTGAATTCCGTGAACCTTTTATTTGCTCTTGTTTTTAGTGTCCTATCTTATTCAACATTCTGTATTTTTATATACAAATAATTTTGGCATGTAGGAGTACTGAGGTGAGCTTTGAAAGCAATGTTAATGGCAAAGATCAAAGGCTTAGAAAAATTATATCAAAAAAAAATGAATGGGATTCTCTATCTTGGCTATAGTTTAGCAACCAACTACTAAGGAAAGCCAAATCTGTCATTCTCTTTCCTTCTGAGAGAGGATGGCAACAGATATCAACATCTTTACCATCCCTAGCAGATTGTCATGTGCAGTGTCCATCAATAATTTGGTATAAAGTGAAAAAAAAAGGTAATATATGATTCACAGTATAACATATAGGACAATCGGATGTGTCAAAATAACTTGATTAACATTGTTTCACAATGTGATGTTCTGAAAATTTAGTCAATAAAAATGAAAATGCGGAGAAGTTACAGTACTACTAAGACCTTGAAATGGTACAAGCAAGAACCTAGCACTAAACCTTGCAAGTAACATTACTTATTAAGCTGGGCACTGGGACAAATTCAAGGGGAAGGCCCCTACATTTTGAACTCTAGGATCTGCTATTGGGATACACACTGCTGATTGTCATTTCAATCTGAGGGGAAGGGATTGTCATTGAAAACAATCTGTTGTATATACACTTCTTCGTGTTGCTCTCTGTCTCCATGGATTCACATTGGCCGACCAACTGCCGACCGAAGTAGTATTCACTTGTCCTAAGTACTAACACTTGAATACATGGTATACATGGTAGAAGCAGTTGGCGCAACGGTTGTGGCTTGGACTGCCAACCTTGAGGTCAGGGGTTCGAAACCCTCGCTGTGCAAGTCGCTTGTGTCCTTAGGCAAAACACTTTATCTACGTTTGCCTCTCTCCACCCAGGTGTATAAATGGGTGCCGGCATAACAGAAGGTAAAACAGACTGCAGTGGCANGCAACCCCCCCCCCCCCCCCCCACAGCCTTACGCAGTCTAGCCCAAACACTAAAGAAAGAAGAAAGAGAGAGGGGCACCCGGCCTGCTTCAGGTTTTGAACCTTTATCCCCTGCTTCAGGTTTTGTACCTTTACCCCCTTCCCCTTACCTGAATACATGATACCTGAGCACAATTTAGTGTCAAGTCCTCTAGAAATATACGAAATATATATTTTTCATTTGGTTCCAAATTGTTTTCATATCTGATGTTTATTTCTTGAATATCCTCTTCATGTACTCAATTTGCAGTAGTGTTTCATATGAGAAGGATGAGTCTTTTTTTTGTGTTCCATTTTTTTTTTTTTTTTTTATAGAATGTAAATATGTAAAGGGTGTAATTTCCATTACATTGATGTCTTTCCTTTTCATCACCTCTGTTTTTGCTTTTACTGTTGCCTAGCCACATTGATATCTACGTAAAGAAAGTTAGGCTGATTCCATGGGGTAGATTTGAAAGGGCTTGCAAGTACTAAACGATTGTACCGCTTGTTTCCTTTTTTCAGTACCTCTTAGCAATTTCTTGTCAGACATATTGTTGTAATTTTGACTGACAGGTCTCAGGAAACACTGTGAGTTGAGCCTCTGTATTTGAAAACTAACTTTACTTATTGAACTTTGATAATTTAGAATATATTCCCTAGTTGGAAAGCTGTGGCTTTGTGGTTATGAGTGCTTGCCTGGTAAATCCAGGGTCGTGGGTTCGATCTGATGCAAAAATGTTTTAAGTGTTAAAAATCTTTGTGTTAGGAGTTTGAAATTATCTTTACTTTTAACTTTGATAAATCAACAAATGCTAGTAATGGTATAATTCCATAATTCTTCTTGAATAAAACTTTTTTCAATCAATTTATTTTTTTGTTTACTTTGTTCTCTACTCTTTGTCAAGTGCAAATAACTATGATAATAATAATAATATTTTAAAATAATATTTAACAAGCATTTTTCGAGTACTCTATACAAGTCTCAGAGTGCTAGCTAACTTTGCATCGTTTAAATAGACCTTTAGAGTTTGTGTTAAAGAAATCTATTTTAAATGGGTGTTAGGGTTTGGGTGCTTTTCAAGCTCAGAGCTGTAGGCTCTATGCTTATGTAAGTTATTAATTTATTAATATGATAAAAATTAGATACGAAACCTGATATTAAACTAACTAGCAACAAAAGTATGAGTCATGTTGCGATTCAACTGTCACCACTCATATGTTTCAGTTTCATTTTTGTTTTGTAATTTTTTTTTAAAGGTATCATTGTGAACTACATAATCAACCCTCTTTTCAAAAAGTGTGACAGGCTTATGGGGACAGTAAACTATTGATTTATGTTTGGATGTACATGATCAATGAGAAACAGTTTCCAATTTATTTTATTTATAACATATTTCATTAGGAATACATTTCAGTAGCATAATCCAATATAGAATTACAGAATTTTATGCACTTTTTTTCAAGTGGTCCTGGAAACATATATTTACAAAAACAATTTAAAGACCTTGCGAAGATTGTGGGATTAATTAGAATTAGGCAGTTAATGGCATAATCCCTCCTTTCTTCCAAGCTTTGCCATTTTAAGCTTTTTATTAAGTCATTCCTATAATTAATCAAAATTACTAGTTATTTTTCGTGCACACCTTTTTTTAATTCGTTTGATAATGTTTTTGTTTTTTTCAGTTGTATTTCCCCAGACAGATAATGCATAGTCAGTTGTTGATTGTATAGTGCTTTTATAAAGTTGATCTAATAGTGATTTTTGTAAAAAATTTCCTAAGTTGCCAAAGAGTGTAAGTTTGTAACCTAATTTTTTGTGTATTTCAAGAACATGATCATTCCATGCCAAATTTTCATCAAGTTGGATACCATAACGAATACATCTAACTTGTTCCAGTGGATTATTGTTAATATGAATTTTCAGTTTATCCTCTTGTCAGACCTTATTGCATTTATTAAATAACAGTACTTTGCTTTTGGTTGAATTTTAGGCAAAATGATTATCATAGTACCATTGGTTAACACTATCCATCGTTTTTTGAAGGCCTGTGTTAATTTCATAAATAGTTTTACCCGCAGTATAAACAACAGAATCATCAGCAAAAATGCTGCAGTTTTTGAAAGGAATAAATTGGAAAATATCATTAATAAAAAGTAGGAATAAAATAGGACCAAGCACACTGCCTTGAGGAAAACCAATATTTACATAATTTGGTAGATTCCTGATGATGACATAATTAATATCAAAATATTGAATCCCGACACAATGGCGTGCATTTCGATACTTGGAATATGTATTATTCTATCTTGGTTGAGATTGTCTGTTATTTATAAAAGTGATTTGTTTTCTATTTGAAGGATAATTATTAAACCAGCTAATTTTTGTGTTTTGAAAACTAAATTTTAATCAATCGTATCAAAACATTTTGAAACGTTGAGAAAGCAGGCGCCGACCATTTCACATTTCACATGTTCAGATAATCTATACTACTTTTTCATAATTTTCTAAAGATTATCTTATATTTATTTTTATTATTTATCCAAGTTTACTGCTTTCAAAAATAAAATAAATTATGTAGATTATTCATAGAATCAGCCTTAACAAAAATTGGCATTTTTTATTGACCATATATTTTCATAGTTGCCTATATCTATTTGCAACTTCTTTGCTGTCAATTGTTATTATTGAACTTATCAATTATAAATAATAATAAAATAATAATATGTCGTTCTTATATAGCGCTTAATGCCTTAACAAAGCCTCTAAGCGCTTCACATTACTACCCTGGCCATTGGATCAAACACATATGGAACACATTGAACACTAAATTAAATTATTAAGTTAAATTATATTATTATTCCATATTGCGGCTAGTAATCAGCGCAGTTTTGTTGGAACCTACCAGGTACCCACTTGTACTTCTGGGTGGAGAGAGGCAACCGTAGATAAAGTGCCTTGCCCAAGGACACAAGCGATTTGCACAGTGAGATTTTCGAACCCCCGACCTCGAGGTTGGGAGTCCAAGCCACAACCGATGGCGCCAACCACTTCTACAAATACCGCTCCTTGGATATTGTTGCTAAGGTCCCACATATTCCTGGCACTGTTCTGATTGGTCAGTTGTTTAGTTTGATTGACACTCCAGAATGGTCCATTATAGAGACATTAGTTGTTTGTATGTATGTCTTTTAAAGTATTTTTTTTGATATTTTCAATTTCTCTTAAAAATGTTAATTTGATTATATATAAATTAGGCTCTACTATTTTTAGAATTTCAAATTGCTCTCATATTAAAGTAAATTAATTTTCGTAATATATTAACATTTATCAAATCAATTCGAATCAATTAGAGTAATCTATCTAAATCTAATACAATTTACTGTAACAAATGCAGAAATTGAAACAAATATATTGTATGGAAGGAGGCTAAATAGCCAGAGGACCCACTGATTATTCACAATAGAATATGAGTGACTAAAAAAATGACAAACGTGAGGCCATAATAGTTAAAATAGACTGCTTGTTTTTCCTTATTCTTTGATGAGGTGAAAAAAAAATGAATTTTTAATTTATTGTATATAAAAAAATATCAACTGCCAATCTGTCCCTTTGTAATTACATCATAATTCTTATTAATTCGTAATTAATATATAATCCACATAGAGTCAGTGGAAAATTCTTTTGTTTTCTTTTCTTGTATTTAGTTGTCCGAAGCATTAACTGCGGAATAACACTTCATTAATTATCACAACTGTAACAATGCCAATATTTCTAAGAGTTGAAACCAGATTCAGGATTAATTCTCATAACAAAACACAGGAAATTGGACAGTTAATTTTACTGTGGTACACCGTTCGTGATTCGTTGAAACTTAACTGCTTCTATCAATTTAAATTTGTGAATTAAACCTTTAACAATTATCAATTTCCCATTCCTTGTTTTTTTAGGCAGCAGTATGGCGAATATGGAATACAACAATGGTGTTTACGAGGTTAACTCGACCACAAACAGTAAATTTTCACCATATCGTCCGACAACGCCAAATAAGAACATCATCGCATTGTGCGAGGAGTTACGAATAGCTCTGGAGAATAAAAGCGATGGTATTGATGATTGGTCGATGAAGGACGAGATCCCGGAGAAGACGAGATCGGTCATTTTGAGTTGGATACAAGGACATTCAAAGCAGGTATGGGTTACTATGAACTGTAGTATAGCAGTCCTGGTATTTGTTTCTCAATTCCTTGTGGATTTTTTTTTTCTCAGTATGTTTAAGTACATCTCATTGACATGTTCTTCAACTAAATACTCGTGGCTTACACATGCATACATAGTGAGTCTCTAAATAAAAATTATCCTATTGGTCCTTCATTGCAGAATGCTTGGAAGGATATTTTGTTTAATCTTGGTATAATAATTATCTGTGTATAATTTATTATTAATAAGTATTATTTTTTATTTGATTTACTGAACTCTGTACTGTAATTAGTATAGAATTAAACCTAATTTATTTAAGTTAGCGTATTTAATATTTAACATAATATTAAAAATAGAATAATTCATATATGTATTTGATTTAATAAAATCTTTGTACTGTAATTGATATGGAATTAAACTTAATTTATTATTTAAGTTAGTGTATTTAATATATAATATAATATTAGAAGTGGAATTTATAATATCAATAATATAGATTCCCAGAAGATTCCTAGATGGCACCAAATCTAATTGGAACATCCTGACATGATCTCCAGTGCCTTAGCCACCCTTCCTACTTCAAGTCCATACAAATCCCCTCACCCAACCCTTAACTGAATGCTTCCAAGATGAGGAAATCAAGGATAAGGCTAAAAGCTTGCTTCATTGTATGGCTGTAGAGATATGCAGTTGTGTATCACATGTACACAAGTGGAAATATGCTAGACTCGTAATGGGTGTTTGTTGCCCGCGATAGTAGGACTTGCTCTGATGTCGGATGCGTAGGCAGTATTTGTGCCATATACGTAACATTACAGACATTTAGACGCTTTTTAAAGATACAGTATGTCTGATATTCTGACCAATACTCCTTTGACTTCTTAGTTTAGATTTTAATAGGTTTTTCCTTGGATTCTTTTCTCCGAATTCAATGAGAGAATAAAGTCATCATGTATCTTGTTACGGTACTCATCTCATAATGCCAGAATTTTGGGTTGAAATCGTTCTTAATAACTCTGACAATAAGAACAAAAACACTGTTAGATATATATGAATCTGTAAATAATTACTTAGATAATTTAATGAACAATGGTAATTAGATTGAGGTTTTAGAAAATACATTATCAGTGATTTTAACTAGATTTTAAAATACAGTATATTTTTATTTTTAAATAAAAAATTTAAAATAATAAAATGTTTCCTGATTTCAATAATTTAATATAGATAATATTTTTAATAAGAGCTGTGGGAATTTAGATCATGAGAAATCAAAATAAATAGGCCAAACAAAATGTGTTATGATAGATTGAATAATCAGTGTTATGCATTGATTAGGAACTGTACCATAACAAATATACCCATAATATTTTTTAGAAAAATGATTGACACGTAGCTCATAACCTTCTTGATTTTATATACATTTGTAATTGAATTTTTCTATTTAGCTACTTACTTTTGGTTTTATTGGTCATTTGATGTGTTTGACGTTACAGCAGAGTGGGGTTGAAATGAGCAATGACATTGGAATGTCCCCAGCTCATATATAGCCTGAAAAAATATGAAGTCATAAATTATAATTTATATCATAAATAATAGAACAATGATATAGGTGTAATGTGTGCTCAACAAGTGTCACATACCATTCTATGTATCCTAATTCAAGTAATTGAAAATTTCTCTCCCCCCTCCCCTTCGCGTTCTTTGTTTCTTATGGCTTCAAAAGCACCTTGACGGTTTTTCTGTGGAAGGCGCTATATAATTATATGACCATAGACTAGGGAACACAGTGAACAGCAAACACTGGTACAAATGAATGCAAATACATATTATGTACTGAGAATTAAAAACTTAATAAATGCTGAATGACTTTCTAATAGATGTTCGTAAACGTTACCAATCGATTAAGTTGATTTTCTAAACCTTTTAATTTCATTTGTGCTTGCCTTTTTATTGTTTCTTACCTCTTTTAATTTTTTTTAATGTTCTTGTTCTTTTGTAATTCTGTTAATTTATATTTTCACCAAATCTGGACGGCTTGGGAGACCAGGATTGGAAGAACATTCCAGAAAAAGATTTGTATTGTATTGTACTGAAATGTTAGTACAACCTCCAATCCAAGATCATATTTGGGACCTGAAAATTTGGAGTTGTCTCAGGGTTCGTCGGCCTCCAATTCGAAGAGTGTGCTTTGTGTTAAAAGTTTGAAGATAGTTAATTGATACTTTAACTGATTGACCCCAGGGCCGAGCGGGCCGAGGTCACCAAGGACGATCGTAATTAATTATGCAATTAATTAACAATAATTATTTTAAAATTGTATGCGCGGTTTAGTGTGCATGTAAGTTAAAAAAATATGTGAGAAAATATTAAAAAAAAGGTTTATATAAAATATTTCTTCTTCCATTTATAATTAATTTCTAAGTTTAGGGTAATTAGCAATTTGTAATTTGATCGTTGCTTTTGTAACATGATCGCCTTGATCGAGGCATTGGCGTCAATACTGGTGGTGAATAAATTTGGTTATTATATTGACATATTTCCACGTAAAATTGATTTTTTTGTGGCTGAAAGTTTTTCGGTGACCTGTGCCCTCTACACGTTGAGACAGATGAGAAAATAAGGAAAATTTTGATACCAAATTGTTCTATATCATCGTAATTTTTCGTATTCATATTTTTTTTTTAAATTATCTGGATTTTTGAAATACACAATATGAAATTTTCGCACAACCTTGGAGGCTAGGCAGAAAATTATGAATTATGGATTTTACCTTGTGAGGTAGGTTAGGCTATTCACGGTATGGTGCGTAGTGGGGAATGGGTGACTGAACGCGGCGAAGCGCCTAGGGGATTCGGCCTAGGCCCCCTACGATGTAAAATTTTATATTATTTTTATCTTCCAATGTTCTTCGTCAATAAATTCAAATTTAGATTTATTTTGTAAAGGAATAATTTGTGCTGATGTGGAGATGTGTTTGTATTCTGATTACTGATTCAGGATTCAATAATTTATTTTTAAAATTATTCATCAAAAAATATTTATAAAATAAAACAATAATTGGAAATAATTTATTTTTTTAATTTTTTTTCATAATTTCACAATACTAAATAATAAGTTATTTAGAAGCATTGTTTTATTATCTTTCAATTGGTATCAATCATTATTGTATTATTCCTTCAGAAAAATGATATTTAACCATATTTCTGACACTGAAAAAAGATTCAAAATCATTTCAAAAAATCAGTCAATGGGTTAAAAGTGGTCTTAAATTAGAGGGGACTCAAATTGGAAGGTAAACTGTAAAGCTGGTAAACATAATTAAATTAATACATTCAATAGATCACTCAAAAGGATCAATGTCATTACATTTACTTTCAGTGAGACATCTAAATATTTCAGTTTTGTTTCTGAAAGTAAAATCCAAGTCATATTTCGTGATAAAATTTCTCTCCCATGGCAAGGCTTAGGATTACCTAGCCCTGTACTGTACTGTAATCGGCACACTGAGATGCTGAAAATTCGAACTCTCTGAATTACAAATTTTTACGTACACCTCCCGTCCGAATTGGGAGATAATTTTTCAAAGTTTACAAGTTCAACACTGAAGTATTATTATTACTAAAATCCACACTTGTTTAGTTCTACAACCTATTCATAATTCAATTAAATTGTGTTCATTTATCAATATAAGCAGACTGCTTTTTCATGCTTACACAGCCAAATATTTATTCATGTAACAATAGGTATCCCAATGAAACCCGTTTTGCGTTACCACAGTCCGGAAATATTCATGAAATTTGATGAAATGACATGATTTTGATGTTGAGAATAAAATACTCATTGTGAATGTATGTCAATAAAAATAAGATATCTTGATGTGTATAAGAGACAGGCGTGCAAGCATAAATAATGAGCGTATATCTTATGAGTGGATTTCCCGTACGATTTAAATCGAAACGCTACTGTGTTTGTTGAGGTTTGGTCTACAGGAGCACATACTTCGTACAGGTCATGTGCCTAGGTTTAAACAATACCTATACTATTAAATACATTAATGATAATAAGAAACTTAAACGAATCTTTTGTGCTAGTTCTAAATTACATTCAAAATGAATTAATTTCCATAAATCATTATGGATCATTTTAACCATTATTGTTATTCAGGCGCGATTCTCAATGGGGAGGTACGTTTTGCAACCGAAGTGGACCTTACGATGGGCGACTGCCTAGGGATCCCCACGAGGGTGTGGCGAATCTTCTGAGAGCTCTGACTTAATTAGCATTTTGTGGTCCTGAGGTCCCCGAGGGGGCGATGCCCAGACGAGGGGGCCGATTTTCTCGACGAGAGCAAAGTGGCGTGGCCGAACGTCGCTTAAAATTTTTCTTAAGTGATGGTCCAGGGGGTGAACCCCCCGAAAATTTTGAGTATTTAGGGGTTTTCAAATGTTAGAGTCTACTAATATGTAGAAAATACATAGGCCCATATTTTTTTTTCTCCCCGACGAATTTTGGTTTTTCTCCCCCGGGGGAAGCTCTAGATCCACCTCCGCCCTTAAACATGGCAATAAATAATTAAATACATGATTTTA